GTACTACAGAGCTGTTGTGCACACGCAATCGATCTACAATCCTCAGGCGTGTCATTATCAAGCGTCTAGATGTCTGGACTTGGTCTGCTACCAGAGCTAGGTTTGAGAAAATTGTCGTACTCTAATGGCGATGACTTTCTTGACTAAACTCGAGCTGCAGATTAGCTACAGAACTGTTCGGCAGAGCAATCGGAAGGAAATCATCAGGAGCTAGCAGCAGGACGAGAGCTGTTCAGCCGAAGACTATTCGTTCTTTGCTGAATCGTTGGACGTAATATATGGTCAGGAAGCTCCACGAGTCCCCGGGCGGTAAAAGGTTGACGGTTTATCGCCAGCGCCCAGTAACTCGTGAGCTTCCCTTAGCTAGTTGCTGGGAGCAAAAAGGTACCTCGTAGAGCTCTTCGTTATCGATGAGCTAGAGGAATTCCGGCGCGGGGTGGAGCTAGTTGGTCGACCCGACGTTGAGAGACAATGTGATAACCTGGGGTCGGTTTTCCTAAGATTTGAAAGATATATGACCATTTATTCTGATAAACCAGATTTTTTGCACCTGTAGTGGGAAATTCCGCGTTTGCCAGTTGAAGAACTCGCAGAGCTTCCCTTAGCTGGTTGCTGGAAGCTTGAGAGTAATTCCGGGGCGCTGGAGAGCCACTTGGCAAGATAATCTCGACGCACCTTTTGCTGACTTTTAGCCAGTTGAAAATTTCATTCTCGAAATTCAAGAATACCTCCTGGAGCTCTTCGTTATCGATGAGCTGGAGGAATTCCGACGCGGAGTGAGCTGGTTGGCACGCCCGGCCAGAAAGCAGAAAGTAATATCTTCTGGTCGATTTTCCTGCGAGTTCAAATGCACTGGCGCCGGCGGTGAACCGTCAACCTGGTCACCGCCGGGAACCTCGGGGAGCTCCTTCCACGTATGGAAGTGCTCAGAGTCGAAAGACAGATCTTCTGGAGGCATTTCTTCGAAAAATTGAAGATTATTTTTCTTCATGTCGAAAAGAAGTTGGTTCCTCCAAGTGTTTCATGTCTTCAAGTCGACAGTAAAAGTCCGCTTACAGAGCTCATATTAAGATAACAGGTGCGAAAAATCTGGTTTAGCGAAACCGACCAACAGTTACCACATCTTCTTTTCTCACCGGGTCGACCAACTAGCTCCACCCCGCGCCGGAATTCCTCTTGGCTCATCGATAACGACAAGCTCTACGAGGTACTGGGCGCCGGCGGTAAGCCGTCAACCTTTCTTACCGCCGGGGGACTCGCAGAGCTTCCTGACAATATATAATGTCCAAAAAATTGCAGAGAACAAATATTTTGTCTGCCCAAGCGATTTCAGACATCTGAATACGACAGGCGGACGCGTCTGATGTCTCCGAATCGATTCGTGTGATTATCAGCCCTGCAACCCCCTACAGCCCGAGTAAAGTGCAGAAAACCGACAGCACCTCTCAGGATGACGCGAACAATACAAATAATTTCGCGGACCTAGTTCGGGCAGGAGACCGAGTTCGGGCAGCAGACCGAGGCGAGCGCGCCTGATGTCTCAAATCGATTCCTGTTACTACCAGCACTGTAGCCTCCTTTCAGCCCGAGATAAGTACAGAAACCCGACAGCACCTCTTAAGATGTCTCGAACAATACGAATAGTTTCCCGATTCTAGATCGGGCAGCAGACCGAATTCAGAGCTCGAGATTCAACAGACCAACGCGACGGATGAGTCTGAATCGGTTTCTGTAAGTATCAGCTCTGTAGCTGTCGCATAGCTCGAGTTAAGTACAGAAAACCAAGAGCGCCTCTCAAGATGACTCGAATAATGCGAATAGGTTTGCGGACCTAGCTTGGCTTCCAGACCGAGTTCAGATTTCTGGATGCAACAGACGAACGCGCCTGATCATTCTGGATCGACAAGATCTGCTTACCAGCTCTGTGGCTCTCCTGTATCTCGAGTTAAGTCCAATATACTGAGAGCGCGTATCCAGATGACTCGAAATGGCGGATCCCGCCCGGACGCTTTTGGGCAGTAAAAGGTATCCGATCGAGCTGAGATCAAGACGGCGAGCAGGAATAAGATCGAATCTCACGGAAAAAATGCAGAGCTCTAACGAATGGTTGAAGTCCGAGAACAAAATTTTCAACCGACCACAAGTCAGCAAAAGGTCTGTCGAGAGTTTTCTTGCCAACAAGCTCTCCAGCGCCCCGGAAGAATGCTGGGAACCGGCGGTAAACCGTCAACCAGGTTGCCGTCGGGCACTCCAGAAGCTTTCTCCATGTGTTCTGACGATCGCCGTGCAAGAATAGAGCTCTACCAGGTTCCCGGCGGTAACCAGGTTGACGGTTTACCGCCGGTTCCAGTTGGCCGACCCGACCAAAAGAGACAATGTGACAACTTTGGGTGGGTTTTGCTAAGATTTGAAAGACATTTGACGATTCATTTTGAGAAACCAGATTTTTCGCACCTATAGTGGGTTATTCCGCGCTTGCCAGTCAAATTCTCAGGTCCGTAGGTGCAGTACTACTATCAAAACACTTGGAGCAACCGACGTTGGATAAAAACAGAAAAACATGATTTTTCGAATTCTTCGTTTCTCGCTCCAGAGGCTTTACACTGGGCGCCGCCCGGTAAACCGTCAACCTTCCTTACCGCCGGGGGACTCGTAGAGCTTCCTGAGCATATATAATGTCGAAAAAAATTGCCGAGAACGAATAGTTGTTCAGCCTAGACGATTTCAGACCTCTCGATGCAACAGCCAAACGCCCCTCATGCTTCTGGATCGTTTTCTGTGCGCACGAGCTCCGTAGCTCTCCTACAGCCCGAGTTACGTGCGAAAATCGACAGCACCTCTCAAGATCACTCGAACAATACAAATAGTTTCGCGAATCTAGCTCGAGTATCAGACCGAGTTCAGACATCTGAATGCAACAGGCGGACGCGCCTGATGTCTCCGAATCGATTCCTGTGATTACCAACCCTGCAGCCCTCTTACAGCCCGACTTAAGTGCAGAAAATCGACAGCACCTCTGAAGATGACTCGAACAATACGAATAGCTTCGCGGACCTAGCTCGGGCAGCAGGCCGAGTTCAGGGCTCTGAATGCGACAGGTGGACGCGACTGATGTCTCCGAATCGATTCCAGTGATTACCAGCCCTGCAGCCCCCTTACAGCTCGAGTTAAGTGCAGAAAACGGACAGCACCTCTCAAGATGACTCGACAAATACAAATAGTTTTGCGAACCTAGCTCGGGCAGCACACCGAGTTCCGAGCTCTGGATTCGGCAGGCGGACGCGCCTGATGTCTCCGAATCGATTCCTGTGAGTACGAGCCCTGTAGCCCCCCTACAGCCCGAGTTAAGTGCAGAAAACTGTCAGCACCTCTCAAGATGACTCCAAGAACACGAATAGTTTCGCGAACCTAGCTCGGGCAGCAGACCGAGTGCAGACCTCTAGATGGAACAGACAAACGCGCCTGATGATTCGCAATCAATTCTGTGAGAATGAGCTCTGTAGCTGCCCTACAGCTCGAGTTAAGTACAAAATACCGACAACGCGTATCAAGATGACTCGCAACAGCCGATCCCGCCGCGATGTTTTTTTGCAGAAATATTTACCCGATCGAGCTGAGATTAAGAGGGCGAGCGGGACTAAGATCGAATATGGTCCGAAAAAATACTAGAGCTCTAACGAGTGGTTGAATTTCGAGAACCAAATTTTCAACCGACCAAAAGTCACCAAAAGGTCCGTCGAGATTTTTCTTGCCAACTAGCTCTCCAGCGCGCCGGAACTGGGCGCCGGCGGTAAACCGTCAACCTTTCTTACCGCCGGGGGACTCGTAGAGCTTCCTGACAATATATAATGTCGAAAAACAAATTGCAGAGAACGAATAGTTTTTCAGCCCAAGCGATTTCACACCTCTCGATGCAACAGCCGAACGCCCCCGATGCTTTCTGGATTGTCTTTGTACGAGCTCTGTAGCTCTCCTACTGCCCGAGCTACGTGCGTAAATCGATAGCACCTCTCGAGATGACTCTAACAAAACGAATAATAATTTGGCAAACCCAGCTCGAGTATCAGACCGAGTTCAGACCTCTGAATGCGACAGGGGGACGCGTCTGATGTCTGCGAATCGATTCCTGTGATTACCAGCCCTGCAGCCCCCCTACAGCCCGAGTTAAGCAGAAAACCGACAGCATCTCTCAGGATGACTCGAACAATAGAATAGCTTCGCGGACCTAGTTCGGGCAGCAGACCGAGTTTCGAGCTCTCGATTCGACAGGCGGACGCGCCTGATCTCTTCGAATCGATTCCTGTGACCACCAGCACTGTAGCCCCTCCCTAGCACGAGTTAAGTGTGTGAGAGAGAGAGAGAAGAAGAAAACAAAAAAAAAAAAAAAAACAAAAAAAAAAGTCTCAAGATGACCCGAACAATACGAATAGTTTCGTGATTCTAGATCGGGCAGCAGACCGAGTTCAGAGCTCTGGATTCGAAAGACAAATGCGACTAATGATTCTGAATCGATTTCTGTAAGCATCAGCGCTGTAGCGGTCCTATAGCTCGAGTTATGTAGAGAAAACCGAGAGCGTCTGTCAAGATGACTCGAATAATACGAATAGGTTTGCGGACCTAGCTCGGCTAGCAGACCGAGTTCGAACCTCTAGATTTAACAGGCGAACGCGCCTGATCATTCTGAATCGATTAGCTGTGCTTATCAGCTCTGTAGCTGTCCTAAAGCTCGAATTATGTTCAGATAACCGTCATCGCGTGTCAAGATGACTTGAAACGGCCGATCCCGCCTGCCTGCTTTTTGGCAGTAAAAGGTACCCGATCGAGCTGAGATCAAGATGGCGAGCGGGAATAAGATCGAATATCATGGGAAAAAATTCTAGAGGTCTAACGAATGTCCAAATTTCGAGAACAAAATTTTCAACCGACCAAAAGTCACCAAAGGGTCCGTCGAGATTTTTCTTGCCAACTGGGCGCCGGCGGTAAACAGTTAACCTTCCTTTTTGCGGACTTTGCGGTCGACTGCGCAGGCTTTCCAGCCTAGTCGGAGCAAGGAGCGGACGTATCCAAACAGGCAAGGCGTGAGTGAGCACAAACTCTTTTTCACATCAAACCAGTCCGAAATACGCATGTTCAACCCGCCGTATGACAAGAGGCGCATGCTCAACGTCACATGAAGTAATCAACGAATTAGACGGGGAAACAACCCGTGGAAGAACGTCACCTGAAGAATATGAGGGGCCCCTGCCCTTTACACACCTGAAGCGCTTAGTGGGGCCCACAGCGGGCCGTAGAGCCATCATGGCTCCAGCGAGGAGGTCAAACAGAGAGATAAAGTGAGGAAAACAAGAACAGGTGAGATACAAGCATTACAGCCTTCGCTGTTCTAAACCGAAAGTTGCATACAAGTGCGCACGAATAGCTTCATCCCAACTTGTCGAAACTCCTCGGGCGTCCGAAGAATATTATTCGGTAGTCGCTGCACTTGGAAACCTCAAGAAACTTGGCCATCTCGGCGCGGTTCATTTGTCCTGTCAAGAACCTGTGCACCTCGAAGAATCCTAGAAGATCCTCCAGCGTCGCTTGCACATTCTGGAGCATCTCATACAGTTTCCGAGCATAATCTTTTTGGGCCTTCTTTGTAGGGAACCCACGTTCTGTCACCAGCTTATCAAACAAATCCATTCCGTTCTTTAAATACTGGATCGCATTCAACTCGTTGATGCTGGCAACAGCGTCAATCCACGCTTTGACATCGGCAATGGTGGCCTGAGAGCACGTCGATGTCCCCTTGACCTTGTCACGATCTCTCCCTCGAGTCCTCTGGCGCGACTCCTTCGATATCTCATTGAGCGTGACGGGGCGATTCAGACACCCCTGGGACGCTCCTGACAAGGCGCGGCTATCCGAATCAGACTGCACGTTCGGAGAAGACTCCGCACTCGAGGGCGCCTCCAGCTCCTCCTCCGCCGCCACAGTCACTTTCCCAAGAAGAACTCCTGAAGCTCCTCCCTCCATCCCAACGACACTATCTGTCTGACAGCCGACTTCACAATGAAAGTCCGCAACATCAACCGACTGCACTCCAACATCAACCAGCGATTCAGAAGTCTGCACTCCAATATCTACATCAACCAGCGATTCAGAAGCCTGCATACGGCAAGAAAGATTCTCCGAAACAGTCTTAATGTCAGCCTCCTCCTCCTCCTCCAAACTGCGTTTAACAACAGGTGGATCGCGCAACAAGAGATAATCTAGAACCAAATCGGCAGTCGCCCGCTCCAGCCCTGGTGGTGGGAGACACGTAGGTGGCACCAAACCATCCAGAGGCAAACGAATAGGTAAATGCACACAGTATCCGTTTTGAACAGCCAGCGCCCGACGCATAATGCGAGCACTTGCACTCCGTACGTGTGGCATAACGAAAGATTGCAGAGACTGCCTCGGAAGCACCCAGCAGAACAAATCAATTGAAGACAACTCTAGGCGATCAAACGTGTCAAATGAATGGCAGCGCAATATCACTCTAGGCGACAAACGTGTGAAACAAATCAATTGAAGACCACTCAAGTCGATCAAATGTGTCAAATGAATGGCAGTGCAATATCACTCTAGGCGACAAACGTGTGACTCCCTGACGCGCACTCGATCCCACTGGAGGTCACCCAGGCAGAGGGGATCAAATGTCAAGCGCCTTGAGCCGAGATTTTCTTGAGCCGGGGGACTCGTAGAGCTTCCTGACAATATATAATGTTTTCAGACCTCTCGATGCAACAGCCGAACGCCCCCGATGCTTCTGGATTGTCTTCTGTGCGAGCTCTGTAGCTCTCCTACAGCCCGAGTTACGTGCGTAAATCGACAGCACCTCTCAAGATGACTCTAACAAAACGAATAGTTTGGCAACCCAGCTCGAGTATCAAACCGAGTTCAGACCTCTGAATGCGACAGATCGACGCGTCTGATGCCTGCGAATCGACTCCTGTGATCACCAGCCCTGCAGCCCCCCTACAGCCCGAGTTAAGTGCAGAAAACCGACAGCACCTCTCAGGATGACTCGAACAATACAATAGCTTCGCGGACCTAGTTCGGGCAGCAGACCGAGTTCCGAGCTCTGGATTCGACAGGCGGACGCGCCTGATGTCTTCAAATCGATTCCTATGACCACCAGCACTGTAGCCCCCTCCCAGCCCGAGTTGAGCGTAGAAAACCGAGAGCACTTTCAAGATGACTCGAACGATACGAATAGTTTCGCGATTCTAGATCGGGCAGCAGACCGAGTTCAGAGCTCTGGATTCAACAAACAACTGCCACTGATGATTCTGAATCGGTTTCTGTACGCATCAGCTCTGTAGCTGTCCTGTAGCTAGAGTTAAGTACAGAGAACCGAGAGCGTCTGTCAAGATGACTCGAATAACACGAATAGGTTTGCGGACCTAGCTCGGCTAGCAGACCGAGTTCAGACCTGTGGATCCAACAGGCAAACGCGCCTGGTCATTCTAGATCGATTAGCTGTGCTCACCAGCTCTGTAGCTGTCCTAAAGCTCGAGTTATGTTCAGAAAACCGTCATCTCGTGTCAAGATGACTTGATACGGCCGATCCCGCCCGCGTGCTTTTTGGCAGTAAAAGCTACCCGATCGAGCTGAGATCAAGATGGCGAGCGGGAAAAAAATCGAATATCACGGGAAAAATACTAGAGCTCTAACGAATGCTTGAATTTCGAGAACAAAATTTTCAACCGACCAAAAGTCACCAAAAGGTCCGTCGAGATTTTTCTTGCCAACTAGCTCTCCAGCGCCCCGGAATTACTCTTAAGCTTCCAGCAATAACTTGCTAAGGGAAGCTCTACGAGTTACTGGGCGCCGGCGGTAAACCGTCAACCTTTCTTACCACCGGGGGACTCGTAGAGCTTCCTGACAATATATAATGTCGCAAAATAACTGCAGAGAACGAATAGTTTTTCAGCCCAAGCGACTGCAGACCTCTCGATGCAACAGTCGAACGCGCCCGATGCTTCTGGATTCTCTTCTGCACGAGCTCTGTAGCTCTCCTACAGCCCGACTTACGTGCGTAAATCGACAGCAACCCTGAGGATGACTCGAACAATACGAATAGTTTGGCAAACCTAACTCGAGTATCAGACCGAGTTCAGACATCTGAATGCAACAGGCGGACGCGCCTCATGTCTCCAAATCGATTCCTGTGATTACCAGCCCTAGCTGTTATATAGCTCGAGATAGTACAGAAAACCGAGAGCGCCTGTCAAGATGACTCGAATAATACGAATAGGCTTGCAGACCTAGCTCGGCTAGCAGACCGAGTTCAGACCTCTGGATGCAACAGACGAACGCGCCTGATCATTCTGAATCGATAAGGCGTGCTGAACAGCTCCGTAGCTGTCCTGTATCTCGAGTTAAGTCCAATATAACGACAGCGCGTATGAAGATGACTCGAAACGGCCGATCCCGCCCGTGTGCTTTTTGGCAGTAAAAGGTGCCCGATCGAGCTGAGATCAAGATGGCGAGCAGGAATAAGATCGAATCTCACGGAAAAAATGCTAGAGCTTTAACGAATGGTTGAAGTCCGAGAACAAAATTTTCAACCGACCACAAGTCAGCAAAAGGTCCGTCGAGATTTTTCTTGCCAACTAGCTCTCTGGCGCCCTGGAGTTACTCTTAAGCTTCCAGCAATAACTGGCGCCGGCGGTGAACTGTCAACCTGGTCACCGCCGGGAACCTCGTAGAGCTCCTTTCACGCGTAAGAGTGCTCGGAGTCGAAAGAGAGAGCTTCTGGAAGCATTTCTCGAAAAAGGGAAAAATTGCTTTTTTTTCATGTCGAGATGAAGTTGGTTCCGCCAAGTGTTTTGATGGTAAAAGTGCGCCTACAGAGCTCATATTAAGACAGAGAGGCCCTCATAGTCGTTTACAGGTGCGAATCAAATATCTTTCAAATCTGAGCAAAACCACCCAAAAGTCACCACTTTGTCCTTTCTGGTCGGGTCGACGAACTAGCTCCACCCCGCGCCAGAACTGGCGCCGGCGGTTAACCGTCAACCTAGTCACCGCCGGGAACCTCGTAGAGCTCCTTGCACCCGTAAAAAACCTCAGGATCGAAGTGGAGAGCTTCTTGCAGCTTTTCTAGAAAAAAACATCAAATTGAGATTTTCGGAGTGAAGATGCAGTCGGTTCCCGGAAGTGAACTAATACTGAAACTGGCTCCAGAGAGCTGAGCTGCTCAGAGAACAAAGTTCATATGCTAATGCTCGGCGTAAAGATCTGCTTTCTCAAAACGAATTGTCAAACTGGCGCCGGCGGTGAACCGTCAACCTGGTCACCGCCGGGAACCTCGTAGAGCTCCTTCCACGCGTGAGAGTGCTCAGCGTCAATAGTGAGAGCATCTGGGGGCATTTCTCGAAAAATTGAACACTGTTTTTTTAATGTCGACACAAAGTTGGTTCCCCCAAGTGTTTCGATAGTAAAAATGCGCCTAGAGAGCTCATATTAAGACAAAGAGGCCCTCATAGTCGTTTACAGGTGCGAAAAATCTGCTTTCTAAAAATAAACGGCGCAATATCTTTGAAATATTCACAAAACCACCCAAAAGTTGTCACATTGTCCGTTCTGGTCGGGTCGACCAACTAGCTCCAGCCCGGGCCGGAATTCCTCTAGCTTATCGACGCCGAAGAGCCCCACGAGGTATTCCTCTAGCTCATCGACGACGAAGAGCTCTACAAGGTACTTGCTAAGGGAAGCTCTACGAGTTACTAGCTCTCCAGCGCCCCGGAATTACTCTTAAGCTTCCAGCAATAACTTGCTAAGGAAAGCTCTACGAGTTACTGGCGCCGGCGGTGGACCGTCAACCTGGTGACCGCCGCGAACCTCGTAGAGCTCCTTCCACGCGTAAGAGTGCTGAGCATCAAAAGAGAGGGCTTCTGGAACCATTTCTCGAAAAAGAGAAACATGATGTTTTTCATGTCAACATGAAATTGGTTTCGCTGAGTGTTTCGATGGTAAAAGTGCACCTAGAGAGTCCATATTAAAACGCAGAGGCCCTCAGAGTCCCCCACAGGTGCGAAAAATCTGCTTTCTCAAAATAAATGGTTAAACATCTTTCAAATATTTGCGAAACCATCCAAACTGGAAACCGGCGGTAAACCGTCAACCAGGTTACCGCCGGGGCCCTCGTAGAGCTCTTCTCTCACACGGCGCTCCTCGGTAAGCATGAAGAAAGTTTCTAGAGCAAGATCTGAGATCGAAAAATCACGTTTTTTTCTGTTTTTATCCAACGTCGGTTCCTCCAAATGTTTAGATAGTAAAACTGTCTCGAAAGAGCTGAGATGCTCGCAGGATAAAGTTAAGATACGAATGCTTGGAGTGAAAATCTGCTTTCTCAAAATGAATTGTCAAAGATCTTTCAAATATTCGCAAGACCACCCAAAAATTATCACATATTCTTTTCTGGCCGGGTCGACCAACTAGCTCCACCCCGCGCCTGAATTCCTCTAGCTCATCGACGACGAAGAGCTCTACGAGGTAGCCGGGTCGGCCAACTAGCTCCACCCCACGCCGGAATTCCTCTAGCTCATCGATGCCGAAGAGCTTTACGAGGTATTACTCTTAAGCTTCCAGCAACTGGCGCCGGCGGTGAACCGTCAACCTAGTTTGGGTTTTCGGACCGATGTTCCAGCTGGGTCAACTGGCGGCCAGAATCTGCTGCGCCAAATGCACAACAGCGCTAGTAAGCGCCTCAGCAGCACTAAGTTCGGCGTCGGTTATCGTAGCACCTTCCAGGCCCCACGCGGCTTCGCACACATCCCTCCAAACGAGAGGCATATTAGAGGACACGGAGTAGGGGGAGGAGGAGGGGAGAGGAGAACACGAGACACTCTTATTACAATCATATCTATGATTGATGAAACCCACTTGAAGCCAAAAGCCGCACCCCGTCCCTTTGCTGCAAACTCCCCCATCGTATCCACCACGACAGGCGATAGGTTGTAGAAAGTCCTCAAAGCTAAACATGTACTCATACTGGTTGTAGAAGCAGTGGCCCTCGCGGGCCAAATGTGTAAGTTCATCAGCCCGTGTGTTGTCTTCCCTGAATTCATGCCTATATAAATCTTTCCCCAATCCAGAACTTCGAATACCCAGATCCCCCGCAGCACGATCTAGAACGTTAATGCATCGGTCCACACGTCTCTGGTATTGTTTATTGTCGCATCGCCATCGTCCCGTCAGCCAGTTATTCACAAGTAAACTATCCCCTTTGATTTCTACCCCGAATCCTGGACTTACAATGTCCCACACCGTCTGCCTCTCGTAGATAATCGCCAACCTCTTAGCAAGTTTTTGTGTATCTTTCTCACTCGGTATACGCTCAGTATCCCCCACCATCTCGGGAGGTGTATAGTACGCCGCTGTGCCCTTCCAGTTCTGAACAAAATACAGGAATACCTTTGGTTTATCGTACATGCACAAAAGATTCTGCCACATCTCCAGGAAAGAACGATAGCTCGTCTCGACACTCGACCACCAGGAGCTGCCATATGTAAGAATGTATGGATACTGCCAGCTACGCTGGCCCACTCTCTCTGGACCAGCCCTCAACCTCTTGATCGTGGATGCCTGAGTAC